TTATGTGCTTTACACAATTGATGTATGTATGGATTGTGATGAGTTGTATGAGCCCCTAATAAAATGATTTTAAAAATGTAATCAATGTAAAGGCAGCCTTGGCTTATACCAACCCCTTCTCTATCATGAATACAGACGCCTTGATTCCAGTTCAGTATCAAAAAGTGTATTTTCTGACAAAGGGAAAAAATATATATAAGGAACAGTCACTGTACCAAAAAATATATATAAGGAACAGTCACTGTACATTCAACCATCTCAGGAGGTGGCATATGATCAAGAACCTATGGTGCTAATTCCAAGCTGCACTGAAGGCATTAGCAAAAACAAGCCTCCAGGAAAGGACGGAATATCAACGAAGTGTTCCAACAAGCTGATGAAACAGTGGAAGCACTCGTCCATGCCAGGAAATTTGGAAGACTGCTACTTGGCCAACTGATTGGAAGAGATCCATATTTGTACCTACTCCACAGGGTGACCCAATAAAATGCTCAGATCATAAGCACATCATTGACATCACATGCTAGTAAATTTTTGCTGAAGATCATCCCAAAAATAGTTGCAACAGTACATTGATAGGGAGCTGCCAGTTCAGGCCGGATTCAGAAGAGGGCATGGAACAATGAATATCATTGCTGATGTCAGATGGATCTTGGCTCAAAGCAGGGAATACCAGAAAGATCTGTTTGTGCTTTAGAGACTATGCAAAGGCATAACAAACTATGGATAGCCTTGAGAAGAAAAGGAATCCAAGAAAACGGCAAAGCTTAGTCAGCAAAGGTGTGCATCAGTTGTAACCTCTCACCATCCCGACTCAATCTGCATACCGAGATGATCAGAGACGCTGGATTATATAAAGAAGACTGCTGCACCAGCACTGGAGGAAGCCTTATTAACTACCTGGGATATGCAGAGGATACAAGCTTGCTTGCTGAAAGATGAAGATCAAGGATTACAGCCTTCAGTGTGAATTACAACTCAGTGTAAAGAAAACCCAAATCCTCACAACCTACCTCTGGCAGGTAACAGACAAAGATTAAAGTTACTAAGGATTCAGTCTCACTAGACTCAACGCAGCAGCAGTCAAGAGATCAAAGGATGCACTGCATTGTGTAAATCTGCTGCACAAGACCTTCTTAACATGTTGAAAAACATGTCAGAGGACTCAAGTGTGCCTGACCATGGTGCACATGCATTTTTGATGAGCTCATATGCATGTGAGAGTTGAATATTGAAAACCTAAGGAGAATTGATGTAATGGCATCGGGGTGCTGGTGACGAATATTGCAAGTACCATGAGCTGCCAAAAGAACAAACGGATCTGCCTCGGGAGCAGTACACCCAGAATGCTCCCTGTAAGCAAGGATGGCAGGATCGGATGTCTTACTTTGGACCATCATCAGAAGAGACCAATCCCTGGAAAAGGGCACACTTGATAAAAGAGAAGGGCAGACAAAGACGACACTTGACAAGGTGGGTTGACACAGTGATGGCAACAAGGGGCTCCGGTGTGGCACTTTGTAAGGACAGTGCGGGACCAGGCAGTGTTTGGTTCTGCTGCACAAGTCGCTCTGCGCTAGAACCAACTCCTTGGCACTTCATGACCTGTGACAGACCTGATGCTCTCGGTGGCTCGGAACTGACTTTTCAAAGAGGAGTTCCAGGACAGTTAATAAGCAATGGCAGTACTGGTGCGTGTGGAGCTACAGGTTTGCCATGTCACTGTCGGGGACAACATTCGAGTTAATGCAGTCTCATTTCTATAAAGTGCAAGCCTAGAGTTACTGAGGCGGCAATTGCTTAATTCAATCACTAAGATTTATGAAACACTATCACCGGCCTTTAACCTTTCATTTCTGAGCAGGAAACAAAACCCTTTCATCTTCATTCAAACATCCAAAAAACCAACCACATGGCCATTAAGGCGATTCCACTTCTGGTGACCCTATAGGACAGAGACGACGGCTCCTGTGGGTTTGGGCGTGTCCATCTTTAGGCGTAGAAAGCCTCTCCTTGCTCCCTCCGAGTGGCTGGCGGCTTAAAACTTCTGACGAGCTGTTGGCAGCCCCATGGGTAACTCATCACACCACCAGGGCTCCTCAGTGAAAGATATTCCATAGATGAGAAAGACTATTACAGCCAACTGACTAACGCAGATTTGCACTGATGTGAATCCAATTCTTTGATCAATACTTAGGTCATATGTATCATTTATTCTTTTGATTTTCCAGAGAATGATCACACATTTATAAACGGTTTCAAAAACATCCGTTTTATTGCCACAGTCATTTCACAGGAAGGAGGAGAACCATCAACATTGCGGTAATGGCTTCTTTCCATGGGCAGTCAGAGAGACCATGGATAAAACATGAACTGGATGCTAAATGCATTTCTTCTTCATCAGACAAGAGATGGGGGGAGGAGAATAAAGAACAAGTTTACCATTTGTAAAAGTGGATCCAAGTCAGCATATCCCTTACCTGGGCATTTGCCTGTATTATACATTCAAAGTTCACTTGGGAATTCAGTTACAATATCCCTTTGGGGGAGTACAGTTTATTCAGTAACTTAAAAAACACTCAACTTATTGATGACACAGGAATACAGTGAGATTAGCCCAAGGCAATATCAAGTAACTGGTCTTAAAGTGGCAGTGCAACCAAAAGCAGTGACATTAACGATGATGGAAGAATCACACAAAAGTACCTGGAAATATTTCTTGAAGAAACAATATATACATTTTCACCCTTGTTTTCTCCACCTGTAATTTTAGCTCTATTTCACATCACTTTTTAGCAGGTGCTGTGAGCATCAGGGGTTAACCTGAGGGGTCATACCACAAATTTGCCATCTGGTGTGAACTGTTCATCTCTTCATTCCTACAGACTGTAATTGACTGTCCCAGAGCTGGGCAGGTGCTGCGCTTGTACGCTATAATGGACAGCTCCACGCATCCCTAAGATCTCACAAGCACCGCCTCCCTTACAAGTGTGACCTGGGTGCTGGCCTTGCATGTGAAAGCCAGAAATAGCCATGTCCTATTCTGACGCACTTCCAACCTCTGTACACAACAAAATCAAAGACATGTTCAAGAGAACAACATTGTAGATAATCTTAGGAAACAACAATAACATGAAGTCCCGTTTCCCGCTTATGAAAATAAATATCACAAACACACTTGTAACCACAGCTAGGGAAGCACTCTACGTACTCCTCTGGACAGGAGAGATTAACCGTTTCACTCAAGTTTTGAGACGTATTTTCTACATTAAACCATTTGAAGGCAGTTCTAAAGAGTCAACTACTTTGGGTGACTTAAGTATGGTTATAGCTATAGGAGAGAGCATTGTTTCAGATCCAACAGTGACTTGTGATGGCTCACAGTAGGAAAATAACATACTTTGAGAACACTGGAACCTGCTTCATGGAAAGAGCTCTATCAGCCAGCCTGGGCTCTCATCTGCTTATTTCTGCTATGATATCCCCAGTTGCTCGGCGTCTGTAGTCTGGTTTCTGCTTAGCTGGGTTGCAGACTGTATCAAGACTGTTAGAGGCCCCAGTCAATGAAGTTCAGGGCTGGTGGACTGGCAGGCAGGCTAGCTGGCAGAAGTGACCCAGATGACTGACCAGCAGTGAACTAGGATTGATTCTAAGGAATGACCAAAGGAAGGTTAGAGGTCTGAGGGGTGATGCCAAATTACACAGCAAATAGAAAATACAACAGGGTAATATTCCTAATAAATATATATGTATGTATAAAAGATACACATATAACCAGTAGGCTATTTTATAATGCTAGTTATTAAACCATAAGTTGATTAAGTCAGTAGGTATGCCAATATCCTGGCTTCAAAGTCATGGGTAGAAATATTTTTAATTAGAGTTCAATAAATATACACAGGGGCAGTAAAATACAACTGGAAAAGCTGAGGTTTAAAGCGTTTTCTTTTTACCAACAATGCCTTTTTTTTAAAACAATGCCTTTTATTGGCTGATAATGGGCTTGAAACAATCCATCTTGGGTTCAAAACCAAGTGATTGCGTCAGACACTAGATCCTTGTCACAGAGTTAGAGAACCCCACTGAGCCCTACAATAGCATCCAGTCTTAAGCCTTCTCCTCCCATACCCACTGTAGCTCAATTTTTTGTTTATGAGTGCTTCTTTTATAAGATGAGAAAGAAAATCAAATTGTTGACTCACTCAGAGGGAATCAGCTCAGCTCAGTCTGTTGCTCTCCTAACAATTCAAACTTAGATCAAGGGCATCGTAGGGGCTCCTGTAAACATCAGTAAGCGCAGCCAGATGGTACTACACAAGATAGGATGTTTTTCCTATGCCTGCACATGACCGAGGAAGGGGCTCATCAGCAATCATCTTTAATGAGAGCAGCTCCCGCCTGTGTCTGGTCCTCAACTGATGAGCAGCTATTCCCACCCCCACCCCACCAGGAAAAATCCACTGCCCGAGTCTAACACCTCTAGGCAACATAAAGGAAAAAAAAAAATCACTAAATGGCTCCTCGTAACATTCTGATTCACACAATTAAAAAATGTGTTTCAAGGATATGGCACTACTATGAACATTTTTGAGGGCAGGTGTGTTTTCAAGTGAGTCTGTCTTCCATTTCTATTCCAGAAGTTGTGCTTCGTCACAACACAACAGGTACCATTTAAAGACAACTCCAGTCGTCATGTGAACTGTCCACAGTCCTGGCTGGCTTTCTTGTCTACTAGGTGAGATGACTAAATGGCTGCAATGCACGCATGTCACATGCAGTCAACCACATTACTGGATCCGTGGCCCACATCTCGGATCTGGCTCGTTAAGCAGTCGCACACAGTCACCCCTGCTCCTGCTCGGCAGTGGGACACAGATCCAACAAGCTCCCACCTGAGAAGACAGAGGAGAATGGACATTTTAAAACAAGAGCATATTTAATTCTACTCGAAACAGTAACCAGAGACAAAATCTCCTTACTGTGGGACTAATAGAAATAAGGCTCGGAGCAATAACTTTTAGCAACAACTCAGCCGTACGTAATCTGTTCCTGGAAGACCCCACAAACCCGGAGATTACCTATTCAGCACCGGATCGAAAGCTTCCACTGTGTTCAGGTAGGTGTTGCCATTGTGGCCACCCACGGCGAAGATCTTCCCCATCACCGTGGCGATCCCCACTCCGCCCCGGGGAGTTGTCAACGCAGCTACGTAATCCCACCTGTTGCTTCGAGGGTCATACCGCTCAACCGAACTCAGGGGAGAATTGTCATCAAATCCACCTGTGTGGAGAAATGTTTTAAAAATAGCATTACCATTCATGGAGCTCTCAACCCAATAGTTTTCCCAGTCGTCTTTCAAAATAGAGAAAACACAGGCCGTGAGTCAAATGTGGCTCAACAATGAATGACGGTGATTAAAAATCTTAAAGTGGGCAAAAAACTATGCCAATGGATAGTTGAAGAAGGAGGGACAAATCCACAAACATTCCTTATCCCGGGCTTCCCAAGGCCAAGCAAGACGCTACTGGAATGCTTTCCTTCTGTGTGTCCAGTGGGTCCGTGGGTCCCTTTACTTGTTTAAATAACAAGAGGTCTTGAGAAGGGAATAAACTACACCAAAGCACATGAGTCTCATCTAAGATGTAACAGTTTCTCATTGTTTCCCTTAATACCCTAAGTGCCAACTGTAATTGCGAAAAGGGCAGACTACTATTGAATTCTAGCAATGTAATCATGAACGTTTTACAGTAAAAACTGTGCGCCTTCTACGGAGGTCTGCAAAATAGCTCGCTCAACCCGAGGAGGTGCTTTCCTAAGCAGTACAATGTTGCTGCAAGAAGAAATGAGCACAGCACAGGGACAGCAATCCCTCTGGGGAGAAGGGGGGCTGTAGGCAAGAAAGAGACAGTGTAGGTCTGAGGGTGACGCACAGGGCCCATTACCTTAATACCTCTCTGTCCATTAAAAAGAAGCGTGTCTCTTTTCAGGGTCTATTTTCATCTAAGTGAGTAACAGCCTCTCTCTGATGACTCAGCCTATTTTCTGTGAGCAGGAGGTGTGGCGATGAGGAGCCGTCTATTTTGGGGCAATTCTCTGTCATAGGGGTCATTATGAATCAGTCAACCCGACAGCACTTACCAACAACAAGCTCATTTAGAAACAAGGTCACTAACAAAATATCAGCATAGGCAACTTCTCTAATGGGATTAGTTTTTATTAAATCAGACCTACCCGAGGTGCAATGTAATTACAATAAAATTTACCACATGAAGTTTTACATTTAATTAAACAAATTGTGACAAATGCATACAGTACTGTCACTATCACTAAAACTAGAATACAAAACACTTTCAATATATTTCACATGATAAAGTTTTAGCGGTTCCAAGAGAGAAAGACAAGGCTTTTTACTCCCCTGAGAGTTACAGCCATGAAAACCCACAAGGGCAGTTCCACCTATGCTATGGGATCACCATGAATCACACTATAGTTGGTTATCCATTTCTGGGGCTACTGCAGTGTGCCAGACTCTGAGATGTTAACTTGTATTATTCCTAATCCTTAAGACAGTTCTGAAAGTTCTCTCTAGAGAACCCTGTCTAATACACAGCCCTTTAAAAGGGGTCGCTAATGGCGGCAGAGTTGACCAGGAGCAGCATCAGTATTACTCAGGAGCTGATGGAAATGCAGACTCTCAGATCGCTCCTGTGCAGTTCAGTCAGAGCCCCAGCTACTTCCTGTGCACATGAAGGTTTTAGGCGGCACTACTCGTCTCTTAGTTTATCCTATTGTGGTGACTTGCGTGTGGCTGTGACGTAAGAAGCTATGCCACCGGCATTTCAAATACCAGCAGGGTCAACCATGGTGGACAGGAGGAGCACAGCTTCCAGATGAAGACCGATTGGGAGGGAAGACCTGGAGGTCGACTTCTAAAATAACTGGCCACTGGAAACCTCAGCGAGTACAGCAGAACACCTGAAGACTAAGGTGCGCCTGACTTTCGCCACGGTGTTTTCTACCCCACGTGGACATGCAAAAGCTGGACGGGGACAAGAAAACTGAAGACGAGCTGGGGTCTGCGCGAGGGTACTGGTGAAGAACACTGCACGCACCACGCACGGCCGGGAGGAGGAGCACAGCTGTGCGGGGAGAAGCAGACGAGCAATGCTGCTTCCAAGGGCGGAGTGGTTCTGCATCACATGCCTAGACGCGTCATCAGGAGTGCTCGGGCCCTGGACAAGGACACCGTTCTTGGGGGAGGGGAGTGAAAAAGAGGAAGACGCTCACAAGGTGGGGTGACACAGCAGGGCCAACAAAGGGCTCCAGCGTAGGAAGGGCTGTCAGGGTGGCAAAGGCGCAGGCAGCATTTCATCTTGTACACTCGGGGTGCTGTGAGTCAGAACCAACTTCAGGACACCCAACAGCAACTAAGTTCTCACTCTGGAGCTCAGTAGGTAAAAAGCAATATATCAATAGCCTGTATGCATACGGCTTGCTAAAAGCGCTCAACATGATTTATCTTGAAACGAAGATAAGAAAAACAAATCTAAGACCTTACTTATGCCAGCAAAGCATATTCCCTTGGTGTCTAAATATAAGGGAAAAAGCCTAATTTAAATGTAATCCCCTACTTAAATATACTTGCTAATCCTAGTAAAAATGAGATAGTTTAAACACTGAAAACAGATTACAACAAATTTTAAAAAATCAGAAATATAAGCTTAAGACTTCAAAAGTGTATCTTAAAATGTTGCTGCTAGCTGACCCAGTGTCCCGACACACAACAGAGGGCCCCGTTGCTTGGCCCAGCACCACCCTCACAATGGTGCCTGTGTTCGAGCCCACTGCTGCAGCCGCCACGTCCATCCAGCTCCTCCAGGGCCTCCCTCTCTTTCCCTGCCCCTTTGCCAAGCACAACGTCCTTCTCCGGGGCCTGGTCTCTCCTGACAACATGTCAAAGTACGTGAGACAAAGTCTCGCCACCTTCCTCTAGCAGACCATGGTACGCTCAGCATTCTCCGTCAGCACCGCAGTTCAGACACATCGATAATTCTTCGCTCTAACCAACTTCAAAAAAACTTAGGTATAAATGCAATCTACTTTTTGTTAGTGGGTTGTAGACGGCATTGCTGCATTGTATCCTAGAATAAATTAAGCTAGAAAGTGAGATAAACTGTTCACTCACCGACAACATACAAGCACCCATGAAGCTCACTAACTCCGTTGCCTGCTCTTCGCTGGCCCATTTCTTTCACTTCTATCCACTTATCCAGATGTGGGTCATACTTCTCCACACTGGACAAAGAAGCCACTCCATCATTGCCACCAACTGCATAAACATGGTTCTCGACGGAAAAGAAGGGCAAACACAAGACATTAGACTCTGCATCGATTTAGGTGCTGTCCTCCCTCATGGGCACTGTGAAGGGGAGCATCTAGACACCCCCAACAGCAGCAGCAAGAGGAGGCCTGGGCAGCGAACAGGAAGGTCAGTGGCTTGCCACCACCAGGTGCTCTGAAGGAGGAAGACAGGCATGCTTCTCCCCGAGGGAGCTGCAGTCTCGGAAACCCAAGGGGCAGCTCTAACTTGGCTTTTAGGGTCCCTTTCAGGTGGAATGGATCTCATGGCAGCGAGCTGAGTTGAGATCAAAGAACAATGGCAGGCTAGAAGGTGCAGGAAGCCAGCACTTCATGAGGTAAGGCAGTACGTGGTAATTAACAGCTGCATACTGGTAACATGAACACGTGCACATACACTGGCTCTTTTCTGACTCAGCTAGAGATGTGATGCGCCTTGCCCTGGGCAAGCTGCCACACGACTTACTACGAGAGCCACTGAGCCAACGCCTCCTCGGGGAGTATTCATTGGCGCCACGGTACCCCACTGATCAGACTCTATGTCGTATCTCTCCACATCGTTGAAACAAGTGTTGTCATCTAACCCTCCAATTGCATAAATCGGACCTCCCAAGGAAGCCAGGGCAATCCCACGCCTGTGAAGACAACAAAACACACATTAGCCTCTGGGTTTGTTCCCAGGAGGAAAACATCAAAAACTTGTTGATGTGAATGCATTTATCATGCTAGCCTTCAAATCATCTGTGGGGACAGCTTGTTATTTTTAGATTTAGCAAAGCTTCTGAAGAGATGTGATGACAAGGTGCTAAATCAGGCACCCCTCTGAGAATTCTGTCCCTGGGCATGTGCAGTGAGTGCACAGCCTGCAGAACCCCTGGACTCGGACGAAATATAAAGTCAAGAAAACCCTAAAAACAGAGTTCAAAACAGCCAGCTGGTAAAGCACCAAGTTGCCTAATTCACAAGTTCATGGATTTGCAGAAATGGGTTTGATGTGGCGTGCAGAGGCCAGCCTCAGTTCTGAGTTCAGGTCATTATAGAGCTCTGTCTTCAGTTTCACTGAATCAATAATAAGAACATAAACTTGTACACAGAAGTTCTATACCACACTGTTATTCCTGAAAGACAATTATCCCTCTTCTTGGAAAAGGAGGAGAGCCCACATAAAAGAGCTAACTGGGGGTGGGGCGACCAACCCAGGGACAAAGGAATAAAAAGTGAACTAAAGTCAATGGAAAGAAGGGCATAGGATGCCTAGTGGGGCTTAATCAAGGGCAATGTAGCAGCGAGGAATTACTAAACTCAAATGAAGGCTGAACATGATGGTGGGACAGGAGGAAAGTAAAAGGAAATAGAGGAAAGAACCAGGAGGCAAAGGACATTTATAGAGGTTTAAATACAGGCAGGTACATATGTAATTATATTTATATATAATGAGGGGAATAGAACTATGTACTCATATCTATATGTTAAGAATTAAGGTTGCAGATGGACACTAGGCCTCGACTCAAGTACTCCCTTTGTTCTAACAATCCGGCATTCTGTGATGCTCACTTTCAAAATGGGTACATAAGCAAATGTGGTGAAGAAAGCGGATGGTGCCTGGCTACCGAAAGATATAGCGTCTCGGGTCTTAAAGACTTGAATATAAACAAGCAGCCATCTAACTCAGAAGCAACAAAGCCCACAAGGAAGAAGCACACCA